TGTCCTTTGCCTGTACCAGCATATTCCCATGTGAGGAACTGAGCGGAAGCATCTTCTCCCACATCCTCCTATAGCTCCCTCTCACTTTAAGGGCTGTATACTTGTCACTTGAAAGCAGCAGTCCTTAACCACTTCATGTAAACCTGTCCTCCTCCAATCCTTGACCTTCTTTCCCTTTCTTTCACCACTTCACTATCTGAGATTCTTTTAATATTCATGTGCTGTCTAACCCTAGGTTTCTCTAGCATCTAAGAAGTTAAGGTTATAGGCTTTGCCCTGTTTATATCTGTCCTGCATCTGGAACAGTGCCTAAAAAACATCTCTGTTTTAGTGTGCCCAAATCCAGTTAAGCTTCTTCCAATTTCCCCAACTAAGATTTCTTCTAATGCTTCTTTGGATAAGTCATCTTAGACCAGCATGACTTTCAGATCCCTTGGAATAGTAGTTATTCCGAATTAAAGACACAAGACAGTCTACAAAGAACCACAAAAATCTCAAGGAGGAATTCTAACATCCAGTGAAAACCAACAGTAACTTCAGTTTGGTATAAGGACATTTAAGGTACTTTACCTACAAAATGACCAAGACATAAGACAAAGAATACCATCTGAATTCTAAAGAGAAGTACAATGCAGCAGTTTTTATCTGTGTCCCCAGAATAAAGCATGAGAATGGGATTGTGTTCTGTTTTACTATAAGAGATGCCCAACCATAAAGGGTAGGTAAATGAGTGGTGCTCCAGCCATTCAAAAGGTACACTAAACAGTTATTAAAAGGCATGTGGTAGAGCTATGTGCAGCTCCATGGAAATATATCCTGAGTGCTCTCTGGGTGTCAAGCACAGTTCCAGGAACTTTAGGTCAGTATTTCTCTTTAAAACAAAAAGCTGTATCGGGGCACCTGGGTGGCTCAGTGGGTTAAGCCTCTGCCTTCGGCTCAGGTCATGATCCCAGAGTCCTGGGATCGAGTCCTGTATCGGGCTCTCTGCTCCTCGGGGAGCCTGCATCCTCCTCTCTCTCTGCCTGCCTCTCTGCCTACTTGTGATCTGTCAAATATTATAAATTAAAAAACAAAAACAAAAACCCAAAAAGCTATAAAGCAGCACATGAAGTTATCTCATTTTTGTAAAATTAACAAAATAAAATTAACAAATGTTTATATACATATGAAAGGTTTAGGAAGAAGAAACACTAAAATATTAATAAAAGTTCTGGATATTCTGAGTATGAGTGAATGACTTTTTTGTATTTTTTTTTTTTTAAGATTTTATTTATTTGACAGAAATCACAAGTAAGCAGAGAGGCATGCTGAGCGAGAGAGGGGGAAGCAGGCTTTCTGCTGAGCAGGAAGCCCGATCCCAGGACACTGGGATCATGACCTGAGCTGAAGGCAGAGGCTTTAACCCACTGAGCCACCCAGGTGCCCCCTTTTTTGTATTTTCTAAATATTTTACAGCAAATGCCTATTGTCATTTAGCACCCCCCCCCAAAAGTGTTTAAAATAGCTATTGGAAAGAGGAAAGCTCTGTTGCTCAGAGGTTTTTCCACATCAGATTGGCAACTCCTTCCTCACTCACTCTTCAGGGGAAGGGGGAAGAAGGGGTAACTTGAGAGAGAACTTTTGGCCAGCAAATTAGCGAGACTGTAAGGTTGGAACGTAAAAGGCTGTATGAAAAGTTGATGAGTAATAGAAGGTTGGATAATAGGACTTTACTGTCTTATTCTGTGTTATTGATACTACCACCAGTTATTGTGGATACACTGTTAGATAAAGGTAAGGTAGTAGAAAAATTATTTTGAGTCTATCTGAAATCTATACTAGGTTCTTAGGAATATCTCTTTGAAATGGCTTGCAAATGTTTCAATGTTAAATTTCAATGTTTCAATGTTAAATGTTGAAATGTTTCAGAAAAACAAGGCACAACATTATTTATGGAGGTTTTTGTCTAAGAAATGGACCAATTAAATTCTTCATCGTAGAAAAGCCAAAATGTTCTCTATTTAAGTAGGTATTTCTTAGTTCCCCTGTAAAACGTCTGAAATAGAGACATTAAAAACAAACTTTCAGGGGCGCCTGGGTGGCTCAGTGGGTTAAAGCCACTGCCTTCGGCTCAGGTCATGATCTCAGGGTCCTGGGATCCAGCCCCGCGTCGGGCTCTCTGCTTAGCAGGGAGCCTGCTTCCTCCTCTCTCTCCGCCTGCCTCTCCGCCTGCTTGTGATCTCTGTCAAATAAATAAATAAAATCTTTAAAAAAAAACCCAAACTTTCAATGTGCCTGCACTTCATATTTGATGTTCTGACCCTGTTTCTATGGAAACCTAATAGGCAAATGCTGAAATTGAGGCTTCTCTTATCATTTTATTGAACATCAAAGAAAATTAAGACAAACTAAAATGAATTTTAACTATGCTAAATATAAAAGGTAAATTGTAATTTCACAAACTTTTTTTTTTTTTTTTTTTTAAACTTTTCTGGTTTGACACTCCTTATAGTCCTATGCTTAATACTGGGTAACTTACCTTATCAGCTTTTCTTAATGTTCCTCTGTCCAGGGCATTCTTGGCTCTAATTCGAGATCACCAGAACAAACTCTTTTAAATGCATCAACCCGTTTACCCGACTGGTTAATCTAGGCTATATCATGACTTCTACTTTTAGTCTTATCTACTGTAATGATTACAGACATGGAAGGGAGAGGTAAAAGTTGCTTCTGAATTGTGAACAAGAAACTCTGAATGGAAGTCATCAAGCTAAGCTGAGACAGGCCTATCGCATGGATAAAAAATAACAGATGCATTCTAAAGAGGTTTTTAGGCACCCCAAGAACTGAATTTGTCAATCTATCCCTTCCATATCCGTCTCTTCTGTTCAGTTGCTGTGTTACACAGTCATTGCCCATCTCGGAGTCTCCCCTCCTCCATCAGCAATGCAGGGAGAATACACGCACGCCTTATGTATAGTTGGAAGGGCCAAATCAGACACACATGAGGATGTGTCACAAAATCTTTAAGGAATTATTAAAAGGTCCGAACTTGGTCTCTCTTCCAACACTACCCATCTACTAACTACTTTGACAAATCACTCAGAGGCTTACCTTACAGCGCCAAGAAGAGCGGAAGTTTTCACAAGTATTTACATCTTTGTATTTAAAAGTACAATTAGCTCATAGAATTTGCTCATTCTTTTACAACACTTCAATATTCTGAAAAAGCAGTACTTTCCAGTTACAAAGCCATACCCATCATATGGGTAAATCCACAGGCTTAATTATTATAACGCAAATTAACAGCCCACCTAAAGTTTACATAGAAAAAGAACTAGACATTTCCTCTAGGAAATAATGAAATAAGCTGGGGGCACTCAAATGAAACAAATGGGCTAATGGGGCTTTAACATCTTTATGATACAATGTTTTCTACTTCAAAGGATCTAAGACTTCATTAAAGAGCCAGGCAGTTACTCAGAATTATCTTTACCTAGTCATCCCTTTCCAAAATTCCAGAGGCAAAAATCAAACATTTCCTCTTTTCCCTCCCCCCTCCCCCAACCGTTTAGTCAGAACTTTTACCCCAACATTTTTTTTTTTAAAGATTTTATTTATTTATTTGACAGACAGAGATCACAAGTAGGCAGAGAGGCAGACAGAGAGGAGGAAGCGGGCTCCCCGCCGAGCAGAGAGCCCGATGTGGGGCTCGATCCCAGGACCCTGGGATCATGACCTGAGCCGAAGGCAGCGGCTTAACCCACTGAGCCACCCAGGCGCCCCTACCCCAACATTCTTAAAGTTGAACACGATTCTATAAACAGGAGCAGGGGGAGGAAGGAAAGAGATTTGGAGACATTCTTGTGCAAGATCTGACACTTTAAAAAAATATATTTTATTTTTTTTAATGGGAGAGAGAGAGAGAGAGAGAGAGCGTGCACACAAGCAGGCGGAGGGGCAGAGGAGGAGGGAGAAACAAACTCACTGCTGAGCAGGGAGCCCAGTGCGAGGCTCCATTCCAAGACTCTGGAATCATGACCTGAGCCGAAGGCAGACACTTAACTGAGCGACCCTGGCACCCCAAGATGACACACATCTTAATTACCAAACCTTTATATTACAAATTAAGGTCTAAATTTATGGTTTGTTTGTTTTTTTCTCTCCGGAAACTTTTGACCAATATTCTCATTAACCACCCGCCTCTCATTTTTAGAACGGGCAACAAGTTAAGTGAAGTCTGTTAAGTCACTGAGGTAGGGCTGAAGACATATTTGGGTCAAAGTGGGAATTAAAAGTAATGAGAACTGCCTGGAATCTCCGTTCGATGTAAAAAGTATTTCTTGTAGCCCTGGCAGTAACGTGTCGCATCGTTCACAGTTATTTCAAGACCCTTCCTCCCATCATTTTCTTTCCGTCTGTCTTCAAATTATAGAGGAAGGCAGCTTCCATCGAGGCTGTTGAAAACAGCCTACTTAGGAACACCACACGGACTCTCCCAGGCCAGTCTGTACTGTGAATTTAAATAACAAATCCATAACAATGCGTCTGAACTGTCCCGCGTATCAAGTACCTTAACGGGTGGGAGGAAGGATACCATCAGGCTCTTACCTGGTTTCTTCGCTTTGGGAAGGATAGGGAGATGAGGTGGATGGGGTATTTACATTTTGGGGAGAGAATATACCAAAAAGTCTTTATAAAGTCCCCCGAGATGTTAAGTAGACCGACAAACAGGAAGGAGTTGCGACTGGAGGGTCTCGGGCCGGGCTGGGAAATGGGAATAGGGGAAAGAACTGAGCGTTCGGGGCCGGGAAGAGGGAGAGCAGCTGGCCGGACACGGCCGGGAAAGAATAAGGGGTGGGGACGCCAGGCAGAGCCAGCCTTGATCCCCGGCGCCCAGCCCTGGGAAAGCCGGCTCCGGGCAGGAAGGAGCCCGAGGCGGCGGCTGCGTCCCGGGGGGGCCGCCCGAGAGCGGAGTGTCGGCCCCCGAGAGGGACGAGAGGTGCCCGCCTCCTCCTTACCTTCAGGCATCTCCCGGTCGCTGATGTGCTGCAGGTGGTGGCCCTCGCCCGCTCCGAAATCCAACTCGGCGGGCTCCACGGCAGCAGGCGCCGGCGCCACTGCCACCGCGTCCCCGGCCGCAGCCTCGTAGATCTCAGACTCGTAGTCGGGCTCCGCCGGCCCCGTGCGCCGGCCCAGCTTGGGGCTGGCATTGGGGGACACGCAACAGGTCAGCGTGTTCCCCATGGGGCGCCTCCACTCCTCGCCGCCTTCACTCGCCCCCGACTCCGCCGCGCACGGCAGCTACCCCCTCCCCCAACAATGGCGCGGTCGGCACCGGCAGCCCCGGGCTACGCCGGGGCTGCGCCGCGCATACAGGCGCGGCCTCGCCCGCTGTCCGATGGTCCGCCCAGCCGCCGGGCCCGGGGCAGGGCTCCGGCCCCGGCCGCACCCCCGCCGCCGCGCCGCCGCCGCCGCCTCCCCCAAGCCAACTAGTCTGTGAGGGCGGCGACCAGCCCGGCTTATTTAAAAGGGGTGGGGACCCGACAAGCGCTGAGACGCGCAGCCACTGCCGGGAGAGAGCGCGGCCGGGGCTCCTCCTCCTTCCGCCGCCACCTCCCGACTGAAGTCCGCTGGCCTGGCGGGCACCTGCCAACCGGAACGCATTATGTGGTCACCTGGTTACAAGGGACCAATCACGCCCAGAGTTCCCTCCACGCGCCCGCCTCGGTGCGGAGGCACGTGACTCACAATGCCCCGCCCCCGCCCCGCGGCTGCTCCGCCCCCCGCGCGGCGCGCCTCCGACTCCAGTTTCCATTCATCTCGCGCAGCCGGGAGTTTTCCGGTTCTGCGGGAAGCGCTGCGGGCGTTTGTTGCTCCAAGCTGTCCTGGGTCGGTGGGCTTTATAGAAAGTCTTGTTAGTAAAGAGCCGATGCCGTCAGGAGCCCGGTTCCAGCGGGTCTGACCGCTGACTCATTTGATGCATTGGTCGCCGAACTTAGTTCCACCCGAATTGTTGACCGTTTTTGTAACTAAACGCCCCTTTCTTGCCTTCCAAGTTTCAGTTTTCGCCGGCAGCTTACGCACAGCAACTCCCGGAGCCCTGGTCCCGCTCTCAGGAAAGCGCTGTGGCTGTGTGTCTTGCAGGAGGCTCGAGGACACGTTACCCTCCCTTTCGTTATCGGTGAAATGGGGACCGAATTGGTCCCGCCCAGCCCAGAAACGCGGGGATTCACCAACTCGCTTTTCTCCCTTCTGTTACTCCCTTCCAAGGCAGGAGTTTCCAGGTTTATCTTCTGTGGCCAACAGTCCATTAAGCACGATTTTCTCATACGAAATTGAGAACCACAAAACGGGGTGACACGGTCCTGATCTGATGATGATAATGATAGCTTGGCAAGCACTTAACTGCGTGCCCAACCCCGTTCCAAGGGAGGCACTCATTTAACCCTCAAACACAATCCTTTTACAGATAGTAAAGAAGAAATTGAGACGAAATAACATTCCTAAGGACACGTGATTGCTCAGGTGTGGGGCCGGGATTTGATCCCAAATAGTGCAGATCACCACAGGCACCACTTATCGTGATTACCAGAAAATAAAGACAGAATTAAAACTTGAGAGGAAGTGACATTGTATATCAGGATTTTTTTTTTTTTTAAGGAAGGACAATTTTTTAATGTAGATTTTAAAGGTTTTCCCTTCATTCAACATTCTCTCCCACATGCTAGGTACTGTATGTGAGAAAGCCTCCTGCCCTCAGTGAGCTCACACAGATGACAAAACAAAGGCTTAGAGAATCCTACTGTCTGAGGTCAGACTGCTGGAAAGGTCTTGAGTCTGGGATTCAAACCTAGAACTGACCCCAAAGTAGATGCTGGGGGACAGAGGATAGATTTTATCCTGCAAACAGGAGACAATTGAATAACATAAAGTCAAGGAGTCACTTTCAGATGGTTTGTAGCGAGACAAATAAGGACTGAAGGAAGCAAAAAGACCAATTCAGAGACTTTGTGTTCAACTAGGACAGAAGGCAGTGGCAGTGACTGAAGTGGAGGGAAAGGACTTCCGATGTTTAGGGAGATGGAATCAAAGGGCTTAATGACTAGATATGGAGAGACAAGTGAAGAGGGAGGCAAAAATGCCTACCAGGGTCCTGGCTTGGCGGACTGGGTAGACAGCAGTGATTCTCTCCTAGAGAGAGAATACAGGAAGAGGAACAGGTTTGAGGAGGAAGATAATATTTGCCTGTTAAGTGGGACATGCAAAAGGAGCTGTCTGGTGGAAAGCTGGATATATACCTCTTTTGACTAATCTGTTTTGTAATATCCCAACTTATATTTTCAAAAATAACACATATATTAAACCAAAAAAGAAAAAAAGAAATGTAATTGGGGAAACTTCCTAAAGCTGACATGCTAAGAATATAACATTTGTTAATGACTACTTTCATAGAACAACTTGGTTGGTCATAGAACACTATGGTTTTAGCAAATGAAGCATTTTATGTAAAATAAACTGTTAAATGAAAAAAACACGTAAAATTGTGTTTTCATTAGAATATATAGAAAGTAATTTAAGCCATGGGTACAGAAATGACTGTCTTAAGAAGATGTGTGTAATTAAAAAGATTTTTTAAAAAAGAAAGACTGGAGAATGGAGAGATTTAAGAGGCATTTAAGTAAAGCCTGAAAAGGTGAGCGGTGAATTCAAAGGACCTGAGTATTAATCAGGAATGGCTGATGGATCAAGTGAGGGGTGGGGGCCACATCTGCCTCTCATTACAGGGCTACACCTAGAACAGTACCTGGCAGGTAGGCGGGCAATAAGCAATTCCCTGCAGAGTCAAGGATGGGAATGCCATTGGCTATGGCAACTGGGAGACTGGGGATGTGTGTGAGGCAGATGGCAGGTAGTGAGTAAAGAAGTGAATCGGAGGTGGGACAGGGAACACCAGGACTAAGGGCATCTCTTCCCAAACATTTGACTGAGAGATGCAGTAATAGTTAGAGGGAGGTGTATGATTAAGGATTTTTTTTTTTTAAGATGAAAAAAAAAAAGTGAGTCTGTTTATTTGTTAAAGGTAAAGGTAAAAAAAAAAAAGTGAGTCTATTTATTTGTTAAAGGTAAGAGTCAATGGAGAAAAAATGTTTGAAGCTACAGAAGATGAGAGAATTAAAGGAGCAAGGTCTCCGAGAAGGCAGAAGTGAGGTACTCCAGAGTTAGGATAGATTAGCTTTGGACTGATAGGAAAGCAAGGAAGAGGGAAGGACCTGTATGGCCACATAGACATTTCTAATAAAGGAGAGGCTTAGGAAGAGCTCATCTGGTGACCTCTATGTTTCTCTATTTTAATGAGCTTCTATTTGGAAATCTCCTCTGGGGAAGAGAGAATGACGTGTAGAGAAGTCCACACTTCATAAAAGCTCAGTATACTTATCTACAAAAAGTAAATATCTTCCCTCAAAGGTGGGTAAATTGAAGAGACACTTGACCACAAATCAAGGAGCTCTAGTATAAGCAGGTATGTCGCAAAAGTAGATGGGGCTAATTATTTCCCCCAAATAGTTAAAAGAAATTACAACAACTCTGGGGTGCAAGTAAAAAAATTAAGAAGAAAATGACACGTAATTGCAAAAAATGTGAACATTTACAAACACTTTAACCACATAAGGTACCCAAAAAAGGACCAAAGGGAGGAATGTCCTCCTTTATTAGGATGGCAGAAAGAAAAGGTAACCTCAAAAATCAGAGAAGCAGGCACGCCTGAAACTAATGTAACTTTTATGTGTCAACTATACTCAAAAGAAAAAAAAAGAGAAAAATCTAAATATCAGAGAAGCAGAGATAATTAATACTTAATTTAATTGTTTAAAAGATGTAAAATACGGCTTGGGGACAAAAATTGACAATAAATTGAAACGTGGGAAACCACAGTAGAATTGTAAAGATTCAGTAAAGTTTAGGTTTCCATGAACAACATATTGTTAAATCCTCAGTGACTACATTCCATGATAATAATAATATTGTCTGAGGGGCACCTGGGTGGCTCAGCGGGTTAAGCCTCTGCCTTTGGCTTGGATCATGGTCTCAGGGTCCTGGGATCAACCCCCACATAGGACTCTTTGCTCAGTGGGGAGCCTTTCCCCCACCCCCTGCCTGCCTCTCTGCCTACTTGTGATCTCTCTCTCTCTCTGTCAAATAAATAAATAAAATCTAAAATAATAACAATAATAATATTGTCTGAAGTTCTAGGAATGTCATGAGATGCCATTTTGGTTTTGTTTTTTTTTTTAAAGATTTATTTTTTTAAAAAGATTTTACTTATTTGAGAGAGAGAGAGAGAGAGAGCATGAGGAGGGGCAGAGGGAGAAGCAGACTCCCCACTGAGCAGGGAGTCAGATGTAGGACTTGATCCCAGACCCCAGGATCATGACCTGAGCTGAAGGCAGATGCTTAACCGACTTAGCCACCACCCAGGCTCCCCAAAGATTTATTCATTTTAGAGACAGTGCATGAGCACATGACAGGGATAGGTAGAGAGAATCCCAAGCAGACTCTGTGCTGATTGTAGAGCACAATGCATGCTCGATCCCACAATCCTGAAATCACAACTCCAGCCAAAACCAAGAGTTGTTCGCTTAATCAACTGCACCAGCCGGGGGCCCCTTCAAATGCCATTTTGGATGATTCCTATAGACTTGAGACAATGCCTAAGATTATGTTATAAAATAGTGCTTGCACTTAACAATAGACACACATCAAAGGTGCCTGGGTGGCTCAGTGGGTTGAGCCTCTGCCTTCAGCTCATGTCATGATCTCAGGGTCCTGGGATCAAGCCCTGCATCGGGCTCTCTGTTGGGCAGAGAGCCTGTTTCCCCCTCTCTCTGCCTGCCTCTCTGCCTGCTTGTGATCTCTCTTTCTCTGTGTCAAATAAATAAAATCTTAAAAAAAGAAATAGACACACATCAAAATAGATATGCATGACTTTGAAAATCTAAGAATCTTAACACTTGCTAAGAAAACATTGGAAAGCAGAGCACGTGGGTGGCTCAGTCGTTAAGCATCTGTCTTCGGCTCAGGTCATGATCTCAGGGTCCTGGAATCAAGCCCTACATCGAGCTCTTCACTCAGTGGGGAGCCGGCTTCTCCCTCTCCCACTCCCCCGGCTTGTGTTCCCTCTCTCGCTGTGTCTCTCTCTGTCAAATAAATAAAAATAAAATCTTTTAAAAAAGAAAACATTGGAAAGCATTGTTATAAAACTAGATTTTAAAAGATTTTGTTTGAAAAAGACATTGGAGAGCATTAAGAAAAGACTCTATTACAATTATCATATGATCTCCCTGATAGGAGGAATTTAAGAAACAAGACAGAGGATCAAAGGGGAAGGGAGGGAAAAATGAAACAAGATGAAACCAGAGAGGGAGACAAACCACAAGAGACTCTTAATCTCAGGAAACAAACTGAGGGTTTCTGGAGGGGAAGGGTGTGAGAGGGATGGGGCGGCTGGGTGATAGACATTGGGGAGTGTATGTGCTGTGGTGAGAAAATAAAAACAACAACTCTATCCTTCAATGACAGAGCAAAGGGAAACAAAGAGTAGCAATGTAATTTGAATTAAGCAAGAGTTTGATTCTGTGATAGAAACTGAGAACCTGCATGTGCCTACTGATGCCTGAATATCCCCTGGGGAGAATTTTTTTAAAAATTTTTATTTATTTTTTGAGAGAGAGAGAGAAAGTGAGAGAGCACAAGCAGGGGGGGTGGTAGAGGGAGAGAGAGAAGGAGTCTCCCAGCTGAGAAGGGACCCGCATGTGGGACTTAATCCAAAGACCCCGAGATCATGACCTGATCCCAAGGCAGATGCTTAAGTGAGCCACCCAGGAGCCCTGGGGAGGACTTTGTGATTAGTGTTTTATATGGGTCTGGAATAAACTCATATTTCATCCATTCATTACCTGTTCAATACTTAAGCCTTTACCACATACCACCCACTTTTTAAGTGCTGAAGATGTTCTGATCAAAATAAACAAGTCCCTGTTCTCATGAAATTTATCTTCCAATAAGTGAGTCAACAGCCAGTGTTGTCCATCACACCTCAAAATCAAGGTCCAGAATGACTATAGAATCTTCATTCCAGACATCAGAGCAGAGGAAAGGAATGGAGATCATTAAGATGCGCATAGCCAAGAACTTACATATCACTGACTTAAAGCGTGGTCATACGGCCACACATGGCTGCAATGAAGGCTCAGAAAATGTAATCAAATGGTTGAGTAACTACTGTAGAAGGGATAACAGGATATGCACGGTAACTAACACTCTATGCTATCATCTACAAGTGAAGTTTAGAGAAGTTTCAGCTTAAAGCAAAAGGGATCATGATAAAATTTCATATCCTTTTGCAAGCATATATGAAAACTTAAACAGGGAGTTCTGTAATGATCTTTTCTTAAGAGGACAGAAAAAGTGGTGAGAGGCTTAAACTATAGAATAAAACTAGCTTAGATGCACGAAAGATTTTATGACAGTCAGGTGATTAGGACTATGTATTACATGTGTGTTGTGACTAACTGGATTCCATCTTGACTATGATGACGAGTATTATAGAATAGGATTTTGTGTGTAAGTAATATGTACATTTTCTTTTTCTGGGCAGAGAGTCTACCCTTATCACCATATTCTCTATGACATATGTGAATAAAAACATTAAGAATTATTACTATATCTGATTTGATGTGGAACTTGACTTTTCTCATTCCCAACTTTAGAAAATTATAATTGGTACTTTTTAGTAAGTGGGGCATTTGATAGTCCTGGCATTCGTATTTAAGAAAACTATCCAGTGCCTTTTCCATCTGTCTCTTTCCACACCTTCTGAACTGTTCTCCTACCTTCTCTCTTGTTGTATGAAGGTTTCTTTCTGCCCACTGAAGTCAGTTGAGATGAGAATGTTAATTTATTTGAAATGACGCTCTGAAAAAAATTTTAAAAGGTGTTAGTTTGCCATATGACGAGGGCAGTTAATGTTCATTGGACAGGTCAGTTCTGGCCCTGAATGTCCATTGTGATTACAACTCCAAACATCAGGGCACTTTCTAGGACAAGTTGCTAGGAAGGGCCTACAGTTTTAAGAGCCTTGGATTTTCTTTTTTTCCTTTCCTGGAGGCTTTTCTCTTCTTTGCCTTTTAACGGCTTGTTTGCTTCCTGTTGCCTTTGTCTAAGAGCTATAGGAAATCTAAAATCTTAGCCCACAGCTGTTCGGGCTCCTGGTTTTCTAAAGCAGATGCCAGCTTTCAACCCAGATCCAAAGGTTATAAAGGCATGTGATCTACACTCAACCAGTTTCCGGAAAGAGCTGCCCAGCACACTTTCCCTGGAAATAAACTCACTGCCAAATCCACTTTAGAACAAGGCAAAGTAGATGGGGCACCTGTGATGGTTCAGTCAGTTAAATGTCTGCCTTTGTCTCAGGTCATGATCGCAGAGTCCCAGGATCAAACACCACATCTGGCTCCCTACTCAGAAACAATTCTGCTTCTCCCTTTGCCCCTCACCCTGCTCGTGCTCTCTCCCTCACTCTCTCTCTTAAATAAATAAAAAATAAATAAATACACTCTTAAAAAACAAAACAAAACAAAAGCAAGGTAGAGTATAACTAAATAATGCTTGCAGTTGTTTTTTTCCCAATCTTGCCGATGCTAACCCCTTCCCCCCACCAAACTTCACTATTTCTACTTATTTCACTTGTGTGATATCTTGTTGCTTTTAAGATGTGTCAGTGTTTGATGTGCCAGTTTTACTCTTAAAATGGAATTTTTGGCCAAGTTGGCTTACTGAAGTTAGAATTTTTTTCTTGTAATAATTTAGTGTGTTCCCCTCAGTGTCTTCTGGTAGCCTTTTTGACAGCAGCCTCCTGAAGTCAAGCTGATATTAGAAACACTGTAGGAGGAGCAGTCTCATTAAACTTGACAGCAGGGAAAAGTTTAAAGTCTTCTTAACCAAGTTTGTCCCCTAGAAACAGAGCTCATAGATTTTAGGGCACAGTCTTTTCCTCATGATGACTCTATTGCCCTATTGTGGAGACAAATCGATTTTTATCCTCACAGCGTGTAGAGCACCCTGCACTACCTCTAGAATTTTCCATCAGAAGGGATTAGGATGGCAGACTGGATAGATGCAAGGACCAAGAAATTTGTCTTAAGGGACACGTTTGTAGAGAAAGTGAACTTAAACCAATGACAACAACAAAACGTACAACTTAGATTGCATGTGGGGAGGGGAGTGGAGGAGCTAGGGTCTTGGCCCCTCTGTAGAGCAGGCCCGGCTTCTTTAAGGTGCTCCTTTGAGTGATGCCCCACATCCCACGAGCTATGTGTTCTCTGTTGTACTTACTATACAGATAACATAGAATACTCTTCTGAAAAACAAGTAGTCTGGTTATAGAGTCAATGCTTGGACGAGAAGAGGCAAAGAAAAACTGAGGAGAGAAGTGGTAACCGCCGAATCCAGTGCCCACACCCAGTCTGCCTGTCAGAGTACGGGAGCTGCCCCAGCTGGGCCATTCGGTCAACCTCTACTCATGCTCCGAGGCTTGTATCCAGCAGAGCCTGCTGCCAAGCTTCTCTGACTCCCTTAAGCCTGGAAAATTCTGCATCTTTGGTGCAGTGTTCGCTTCTGCGTGATGCAGCCTTATATCACATTGTATGAAAACTGCTTCCTTGTTTGATCCCCACCCCCCACAGTAAATAGGCACACCCCCCAGGGCAGAGCTATTTTATTCAGGTTTTGCAACCCCAGGCTAAGTACAATGCCTGGTTGGCAGCCGTCTCAGACACTTCTCTTGAATGAATGGATACATGAATGAAAAAGTTGCATCTGAGAAGACCAACAATCACAGTTCAAGAGCGATTATACCCATTCCTTATTTTTCGGTATTCTCTATTCTCTTTTGTGCCTCTGCTCCTAGTTTCTGCTGCCCGATAGCATTTTTTCCAACAACAGCTATTTTCTAATGCTCTCGAGTGTGTGTAGGTGAGGAAAGCAGGCAGGCCGTGGTGAGAACTGCGCATGCGCCCCAGCACCGCCGAGGCCTCAGCCGGAGCGAGTCCGGCCACTGGAGCCGGCGGAGGGCGGCTCACCTGGGGGTGTAGGTCTGGACCCGCCGTTCTGGCTGTCAGCCGGACTCCTCCGGGTTTCCGCAGGTCGTGACTTCTGAGGCCTGAGCATCTGGGCAGCTTCTTCATTCCTCCATCAGGGGCCTGGCCTGCCGAGGCCGGAACACCTGGGACTGGTTGTGTATCCCTCGGGGTGTGATGGCCGCAGAGTGCTCAGTCTTCTTATTGGACACAAATATAAAATCCCAGTGGGTTTCACTTTTCTGGTAAACACGATTAAAATTAAAATGTGGGGAAGGAAGGGAGAGGTATGGTGAGCAACATTTCTTCTCCCCACCCCCAAAGCCAGCTCCTTCACTTTATGAAGTTGGTGGAGATCATCACCTTACCGCGGATTGTGGTAAATTTACTGTAGCCAAATCTCAGTCTTCTGCACTACCTGGCTTCGAGGCAGTGCCCCCCCCCCCCCGCCGCCCACTACCCCGCTTGTTAGAAATCCATGTTAGAAAGAACATGGATTTCTGCAGGTGCTTTCAGAAACAAATTTGCCATTGGTTATGTGTTTTTTGTGATGCTTTGAATTGAACATTTGAAAATAACATTCACATTAAATCAAATTCAGGAGCAGTCAGAGAAATCTCCTAAAATCTACATGCTGAAAACATCACATTTTTCTAGTGATTACTACGGTAGAGCAACTTAGAATCTGTGGTTTCAGCAAATGAAGTGCCCAGTGTAAAATGAAACCATCGTGTGAAAAGAAGACTTTAAGTGTTACTGTCATTGCTACATTTAACTAGTAATTTCCCTGCGAACGTGCACTGGGAAGTTCTTTACATGCATATATAATAATATAGCCACCAAAATCTCCGGATGTGGTGATATGAAAGCCCCTCAGGGCAACTCTCCACCTGGCACCACTGACCCATCTGATCCCATTACATAAGGATTTTCCCTTCTCCTGGGAAGTAGGTGGAAGGGGCATGTTGTTTGCTATTGCCTATTTAAAAAAAAAAAAAAGATTTTATTTATTTGACAAACAGAGATCACAAATAGGCAGAGAGGCAGGCAGAGAGAGACAGCAGGTAGCAGGTTCCCCGCTGAGCAGAGAGCCCAGTTCGGGGCTCGATCCCAGGACCCTGACATCATGATCTGAAGGCAGAAGCTCAACCCACTGAGCCACCCAGGCGCCCCTACCGCCTATTTTTGAAGCAAAGTATGCCAAGGTCTGTGTGCCCTTCCCCAGGAATATCAGGGGAGGAGCCTGCTACATCTGCAAACTCTGCTTAGCTCTCTTTGGGGTAGAGATCATGCTTTGCTGGCACTTTATGTTTCTATAAAAGAATAGGGAGACGCTTGCCCCTCAGAGTCTATGGTGAGGTAAGAAGGCTGATTAGTTGGCAGTTGTGATTAGGTCTCTTTAGAGGAGAAAGAAAGAAATGGTCAGAAAAATACACCTTTCCCTGTTGGTATCCCTATAGGAGCTTGACTAGAGGCCAAACAATCAGAGTGAACAATGGCGATTCTGAGGCTTAGGGCCGTTTGGATAATTAATTATAATTAGGCAGTAATTAATAATGATTTGAATAATTGCAGGTTCCCTACCTTCAGGCTGTGGGTTGGAAGCAGCAACAAACTGAGCCATAATGGAGCCTGAGGCAAAGGGGAAATTGGCAATACTTATCCCATCTTTACTAAAATTGTTGGTATTTTGTTCAATATAGATTTTTAAAATAATCTTATTTTTCAAAACATGCTATTTATTTATTATCTTAATTACTGAGTGTTTGTGCCCCCTTACATAGGGATCCTATGGCAAGTGCCTCACTTACCTATCCTCAGGCCAGGTCTTAAGCCCAGAAACAATAGGAGGGGGTATCTGGATACTGCTTGGCCTGCTCTGGACAGGGAAAAGAGGGAGAGTCAAACCCTTGGACTGTTCTCTCTGATCCTTGGTGTCTTGAAATTTCCAAATCACTGAGATGAGAATAATCCAATTCTAGTCAGGGATGAAAGACAGCCCAGGTCTTCCGTGGACCACTGTTACCACATTATACAGATGAGAAACAGGCGGTCAGTGCATGTGACTGACATGCCTAAGAAGAGAGATCCAGAAAGTGGAAAGTGAGGACTTGATTCCATACCAGGTCGACTCTGGGAGTCTGTGCTCCGAGAAACTGCCCATTCACTGTGTCCCCACAAAAATGATTAATGATGTATTTTTTTCTCTGAACATCAATCAGGCCAGCTAAACGTCACAACAAATATATCTTCTGTTAATTTTAACAACTTTTTTCCTGGTACAAAAGTAATATATATTCATTGAAGAGAAATAAGAAAATACACAGAAGTGAGAGAAATCAAAATGAATCAAAATTCTACACCAAGAACCACCATTAACATTTTGTTGCATCTCCGAGTTTTATTTTAATAAAGATAAATTATATGCATACGATTTAAAAATAAAATGATGATACACACGCAGTTGTTTTTAACATACTTTCTTAACAGTATCCGTGAGTATCTGTTCCTGTCGTTGATTTTTTGCAGAGTAATTTGCAATAGATTCATAATATGCATTCACCCGTTCATGAATATTTATTGAGGGCCTACTACTCTGCATGCAACGACTAGGCAGGCACTAGAGATGCATCAGTTAACAAAATAAAGAATTTGTCCCTCTAGGGTTGACCTTTAAATGGAGGAAGACCTTTGACAAATGAATGAATAAATGTGTGTCAGTTAGGGGCACCTGGGTGGCTCAGTCGGTTGAGTGTCTGCCTTCAGCTCAGGGCTCAGGTCATGATCCCAGGGTCTTGGGATCAAGCCCTGCACTGAGATTCTTACTCAATAGGAAGCCTTCTTCTACCTCTGCCTGCTGCTCCCCCCGCTTGTGCTCGCTGTATGACAAATAAATAAATAAATAAATAAAATCTTTTTACAGGAATGTGTGTCAGTTAATAGGGACACTATTTTGGATATTGTAAGGGAGTCTTCTGTGATTAGAAGCTGTTTGGGGCTGAACTGTATCCTCCCCCACCCCATTCATATGTTGAAGTTGTGACCTCCACTGTATGTAGAGTGCATTTAGAGATAGTGTCCTTATGACTATAGTGTCCTTATGACTGTATTTGGAGATAATGTCCTTAGAGAGGTAATAAGTTAAAATTAGATCATTAGGGTGAGCCTTAATCCAAAACTGGTGCCCTTTGAAGAAGTTTGGACACAGACATACATCGAGGGAAGATCACGTGAAGACACAGGGAGAGGACAGTCATCTATAAACCAAGGAAAGGGACCTAGAACAGATTTTTCTCACATGGGCCTCAGAGAAAACCAGACCTGTCTCACTGTCTTGGACTTCCAGTCTCTGGAACTGTGAGCAAATTCATTCCTGTTGTTTAAGTCGCCAGTCTGGGGGCTTTGTTAGGGTAGCCCTAGCAGACTAATAGGGGCAGAGAGTGGTCTGAGAGCAGCGAGAGGGTTCAAATCCTGCAGGATCCAGGGAATGGTGAGTGCCCAGGCCCTAGAGTGGAGTTTGCTTGCTTCGCATTAGAGGAAAGCAAGGGAGCCAGGTATTCTGGAAGGGTCACTGAGGGGAGAATGGAAGGAGATGAGGTTAGAGGAAGAAGCAGGTACCACTAGGTCCTAAAGCAGCCTGCCGGCCTCACAAAGGACTTCAGAGTGTATTCTGGGAAATAGGAAACTGCTGGAGAACCCCTGGACCTGACAGATCTTAACGAAGATCTTGGCTCTGTGAGGAGTCTGGTCTAGATGTATCAGAAAGTGTGTAACCCTATTATCAATCAGTGAAATTATGTAGCAGGGCCTGGTAAAGGTTTGCAGGGAGAGGCAGGGGGCGGGGCTTCAGGGACACTGGCCCCCCGAGTCCTAAGCCCTCGCTGTTCCTCCACCATCCCACTGGGCCATCCCATCCCCCATCTGATCAACTGGATAAACCATCATTTTAAACCAGCCTCAGACTTTTTTCCATGAGTCCTTTTCCACAGGGTCATTCACCGAGACTCTTCCGCCCTGTTAAGGTGTTAACCCTTCCTCTTGCTTATTTCTTTTCCCTCTTTCTGGAGCTTACACCCAGGTTCCCAATCCTCAAACTTCCTCTACCCCAACTCAAGCCTTCCTAGCTCACCGGCACCAACTGCCACCAGCCAGAATTCCATCTTACTCTTCTCTCCCCCTCTCTGCCTCCCATTCCCTCATGCCTGGCTTCCGCTAGGGAATGGAGAAATGGAAGTCTTATCCCAGATCTGCAAGTGAAATTTCAGGGAAGTAGACCATGTCCATCAGTCAGTCAGGGGACTGAAGTCATGGCCACTCTGCCCAATTTGAAGCCTCATGCCTTCTGTCAAATCAGACGTAATGGCCACAGGGGCAGTAACTAGCTCAGGGTTGGACCAAACTTTGATCTGTGCACCCCTCTAAGGAAGTTTTTGTTAGTTTCCAGACTCTTCTTAGGCTCCTGAGGGGTTTTCTATCTTGGCAGGAGCCCTCATCAGTAGCTTCCTTTAACGATGTGCATACGTTTGCCTCCTGCTGAAGGTCAGTACTGTCCTCCCCCCAAGGCCAACTGCCTCTATCAACCTATACTTAATCTGTTCTAGGCTGCGTTTTGACTGTTACTTGTTTCATGAAACTAAGAGATCAATCTGATTCTCTTTCTCCAGTGCAATAAACACACAGAACTGGGGGTGGGGGGAAATGAATGCCATTAGTAAGGGTCCCAGTTCAGCCCAGACTCTTGGGCTGATGTGTTCACCTGAGCACAGATGACAGCTGACGTTATAAAGACAGGCAGCTGGATAGTGCCAAGTGCAAACACCCCAGGCTTAAGAAGGGGAACACCAGGAGGGTCACTGGCTGGGATCCTCACAGTCACAAAGGACCTCAGTGCCTCCAGGTTGTACCTATATGTACAGAGAAGTATTGGTGGATTTGAAGAAGGAAGATGATTTCCTCCCAACTTAACTCTGTGTCTCATTACTGGGCCATATCTGTCATGAATGATGAAACAGTAGTTTTAATAAATCCTCTAATAATTCCCTTAATCATTTAGGGAATAACATAACTGCATTGAACTGAATGTGTGTGGGGTGGGTACACATGGGTTGAAATTGTTTACTTCTTAGATACATTTAAAACACACCACAAACGTTGTAACCCTATTTTGGCATTTCTTTTTCTTCTTCCTTTTGTTTGGCGTTGGTTTGGTTTGCTTTAATATGGAAGTGGCCTGTGCCTCTCTTGACCTCTGAAAGGCCGTATGAAAACCTGAAACCGAGGCAAGGTGACAAAGTCTGGTCATTCACCAGACGGGCCTCCTCATGTTACTTCTTTACTTAGAAAAATAGAGTGTTGTTGCAGAAGATCCAGAGTCGCAAATGTTCTGCCCAGGCCAGCCAGTTTCTTAATTCTTAGATTTTTCATTTCACTGAGCTGTCAGGGAATTTTCTAGACTAGAAAGATCTAAGCGAGACCAAAACAAAACCTCAAGTGTGAATGCACATCCTCCAGGTTGACGGAGAATCAGATAAGCCCCTGGGGTGAAGTGGGAGCAAGACAGCTGATTTTCACCCTACGTGGTCATCTCACAATCAGGTAAGGTGAGTGGAAAGTTACACAGGTTTTGCTGGATATTACCAGATTCTCATTCTTCTTTGCTTGAGCAAAATGGCAAAATACCTTGTGTACTCTGTGAAGAATGTTCATAAAACTATAGTTTGATCTTTGTAACTGCCATTGCTATCCCAGACACTAATGTGCCTCTGTGTTCAGGAGAGAATGACAGCATAAAACTTTTTAGCCATGCTTGTACTTCATAATATTGCTGTCATCTTGAGTTTGAGGGATCATGACACTGGCTGTATGTAGTTTTAGGTTCCCCAGTGAGGCCAAATATACTTGTGTCAACAAACACCGTTCCAAAATACCGGAGTTCAATTTAGCTAAATACCAGGGGACTGACTCAAATTACGTTGAAGGAAAAAAAAAATGTATCTTTAACTCAGATGGCAAAACATTGAAAACTCAGAAAATCTGTGTTATAGGGACTTGGAAAGTAGTAAAATGAGACATTTCCATAAAGGCTAATAAATTTTGTATTTTCTTTAGTTCTATTATTGCAACCTTTTTCAATTCCACATGTGAAAATGCTGTTTTTACCAACTCATGACAGCGTCTAATTAATTACTCTGTAACACATCATTGTTGTTAGAAATGCAGAAGTTGGGGTGCCTGGGTGGCTCAGTGGATTAAAGCCTCTGCCTTCAGCTCAGGTCATGATCTCAGGGTCCTGGGATCAAGCCCCACATTGGACTCTCTGCTCAGCAGGGAGCCTGCTTCCTCCTCTCTCTCTCTCTCTGCCTACTTCTGATCTCAGTCAAATAAATAAATAAATAATCTTTAAAGAAATGCAGAAGTTTGCCTTCTATTGCAGAACTATACAATATAGTGAGATACCAATAATCGTAGTAGTAATAATCACCAATGTAGTAAGTAACTCTAATTGAGTACTTAATATGATTTGCTAAAGGTTTGCTAGTTAAGTGCTCCCATGGGTTATTTTATATAAGCCTCCCAACAATCTCATGGGCTAGGAAAAGTAATTTGTTAATTCTTATTCTAGTGAATGGCTGAGATTTTTATTGAGAACTTAGGATGTGCCAGGCGCTGTACAGATATTAACTCATTCATTCCTCATGACTCTCCACAAAGTAGGTGCTCTCATTCTTCCCATTTTAGGGATGAGAAGACTAAGGCACAGAGTTGAAGAGACCTGCCAAAGGCCACAAAGCTGTAAGTCACATAACAAACCCTTAACTCTGGCTCCAAGCTTTACCTCTTCCTTACTAAACAGCTGCTCAACACGAATTACATTTTCTT